TGAGTTGGTATTTGAGCAAGATTTCAAACTAAAGAAAATAACAAGGGACAAAATTGTGAGCTATTTAATCTTCCACATTACATTCAAATTGCCTTAATGAAGAAAAGGATTTGAGGATTTTATATCAGAAAAAGAAAATAAAACCTTTGTGCTCCCAGCAACCTAAGATATCTGGTGTCAAGCCCAAGCCTGTGGACACTATGCTGTGACGGTTTAGTTGTCTGAAAGAAGAAAACAAATCAAATGAAGCGAAGAAAATGATTTTTAGTACATAAAACCATAAGCTAAAAGAGAATCGCTTATCACATCCGACTTTATCCCCCAATTAGATATTTACTTCTTTTTTTTCGACCAGATTTATATTAATAAAGCCCATTGGGCTGAAGGAAGAGGGCTAAGCCCAGAAGAATACAACAATAATGGCCCAAAACCTAGAAGAATCTAGAGACCGCCGGCCATCGATCTGCTGCAATCCACCATCCAGCCAATCAGCCACCATCGATAAGCTAATTAGCACACAAACGGCGAAATTCTTCCACCCTCCACCGATCTCCAAATCAATGTACCAAACTATCGACCAGATTAAACATGACAATCGCTCTGCAAATCATCCATACCTAAGAAGCTTCATCGCCGACAATAATGATGAAGTCTTTGATCCTTGCTCATCGATGGAAGCAAGAGTAAAGCGACAAAAGCGGATGCGGAATTCAACATTTTTTTATAAAAACGCACATGCAACACCAATCAACAATTTTAGTCCAAATACACATTTTTTAATAAAAGAGAAAAATAAATCCCCATACAGTTTTCGAGACAAGTATTTACACAGTGAGTAAGAAACCGCATATCAATTTTGTGCAGCAGGTAAGAACCAACAGTTCACTTAAAATCTGCAGTCCAATGGATAACTAAATTTTTTTTTTTTAAATTCACCTTTTTATAAGATAGAATTCAGATCAATTTTTTTCTTTACACCAACTATTTCTACTTCTCTCGACCAACAAAAAAAGTTTTTTTTTCCTTTTTTTTTATTGAACTATCACACATTTGCTTATTAGAAAATTTTATAAATTAAATTTAGTAAATAGATTACCTTCTAAGCTTTTAAACATATAGTTAAATTTAATAAATCTATTTTAGTAAACAAATAAACTAGTTATATATAATCATATACCTCTAACACCAATTACAAGACGATAAATTTAATTTAATTAGGATCATTTTGTTAGTTACTGAAATATAATTTTTTTTAGGTTATTTTAGCCAATTTTCCTTTTATTAATTTGAATCAATTTTTTTTGTTTGAGATGTATTTCTTTACTACTTTTATTTTGTATAATATTTATCTAAAATGTTTTTATCGTTTTTCACCAATCAAACAATTATCTTGTACCGCATGTTATTTTTTACACCAATCAACTATTGTTTTGCTCCGCGTTTTTTACATAAATCGCACTTGTTCTGCATAATATATTTTTCTGCACGAACGATACTTGTACCGAACCATGAATCCTCAAACAAACGGCTGAGATTTAAAGTTGTAGCTAGCGAACCTCTTTTGTCGGATAAATAAACCTAGGTCTCTGCGATTAYCTTTGATTTCCCCCAATCTAGATCTATCTTCTCCAAATCGAGTCGCCATGAAACGCAAATTTGACGAGAAGCTGGCCAGCGGAAGTAAGTTAGATCGAATTTCTCTTGATGCAAAGTTTAGGCTAAAGCCCCACCAAAAGAAACTCCGTGAGGAGCGAGATCGTA